CATCCAAAATAGTGCAAAATGTGAAGCTTTTTGCAAGTTCAAAGGGTGAAAATGATATTCATGGCTTCTCTTTTTTTGTCATTGTGAAGCTATAAAATATGGAAATGAAAAATGAATCTTGCATAAAATATTTAAGAACTGTTTCATCTTTAACTCAATGCTTTTTGGAAATCAGGTCATCACTAGGTTTGAAAAGGGCACCAATACCAAGTATTTTCAGGAATATTGACGAAAATGGAATCAGACAAAGAAAAAAATAATTTGTTGTGCAATTTGTGCACAGATTCATCAATGAAAATCACTGCTTTAATATTAAAATGTATAGCTATTATTTGAGTTTTAAGGGTTTGCGTGGATCCAGCAATCCATCATTAAAAGTAAATATAAGTCCACAGAACCCATAATTTCTCGTCATGTCCTAGTCACTTTTTATCTCTCTGCTTTTGCTGGACTTCTATTACACTCAGTAACAAGTGAAATAGTCAGATTAAAATGAACTTTTGAGTCATGCTGAACATTTTGTTACTTTCAGATATACAAACAAAGAGAAAAGGTACACCTCCATCTCTGAAAGGTATTTCAGAGATGGAAGCTTTCATGTGTTGCTAAAATTTATTTCTAGTTGTGATAAAGTGGTGAAAGGATGTCAGATGCTGGATTTAATCCGTTTTGAACAAGCTGCCACGTACCTTGGCAGACTAACAAATGAGGGATATTCAATTTACAGAAAATCTTAATTTTCCTACTGAGAAGCTAAACCGTCCCTATTTTCAACAATCTGTTTTCTTCCTATCGGCTTAGAGAAGAGTTGAGATTATCCTTCTTTGTCTCTATTTTGAGTCCTGTGGTTTGATTGAGTGCTGTCCCTTTACCAATGGTTAAATTTACTCCTTTCATGCTCAGTGCATTTTATTTTCTCGCACAAGACTTAAAATCGCAGAATCTTGTCAAGCCTCTCCAGTGTCCTACGTCCTGTGGTTTGACTGTGATTGTGCTGACAAATTTTTCAGTTTGTTGTCTGTGGGCTGGTCAAAATAGAATATATACCGTGAATGAGCTTGACAAAAAACATATACTTTCCACACTCTCTGGAATCTGCTAACATTAGACATAAGATAAACCATGGAGCCCTAAAGATATAATGCGGTTTCATTTGCTATCTTGTGAAATGCAGCGTGACATGCTGACATTTAACCAGTCAAAAATGCTACTCATACTTTTTTCTGTTATTCTCCATAGTCCGTTATTTCTATCATGGAGAAGAGCTCATAGGCTTGGAGACAAGCTCAAATGTTACTATTAATCTACATTGTAGAGTTTCCATGTCGTTCATGTGATTCAGCACATCGGTCTTTCATGGCTGAGTATATTTTTAAATGACTCTGATTAAATAATGGACAATAGCTTTGTGAATTGGACTGTAAAAGATAAAGCTGAATGAGCCAAAGGATGTTGCATGGGTTGCATTGGCAAGAAAACCATTTAATAGCAGTTAATCTCATGTGCAAATTGAACAATGATTGTTGGTGGAAATCAGTCATGATTATGATTTTACGTCAGGATACCCTTAACTCATTTTACAACATTGTAAATTGATGTATGGAAAAATGGTTGAATTGAAATCATCAAGTCTCAGACTACATCTCCACGGATGCAAATTTCCTATATGTAGAAAACAGAGCCCATCCACCCTCACCAACCATTTTGAGCACGCTTCAGTGAACACAGGTCATTAGCTGACAGCGGATGGCTCTGCCTCGGAGTTAAATCAATTATCCTATCTGCAATGGGGCCTGCTGGGTTCAGAGGGTATTACTGTTTCACTCAGACCAACAAGCAAGCTGCTGTTCTCACTACAACATCTGCTTGGGTATGGCCTAAGTCTGAAAGGAATGAATTGGATTTGCAGTGAATGGTGTGTAATGCAATGGGGGCGACTGGGCAGGGATATTTTGTGCGCCTCCTCATCAGACACACATGATGAAATTTAAAACATTCACTGTGTGCATATATTGTAATCCTGCTTTGTTGAAGCCACTTTTGATAAGAAATATAAATCTCACCATTGAGGTTTGAGACATGCCTTATTGTATCAAATCTTCAGTTTGTTGCCAGATGTAGCCATGATGTATTCCACACAAATAGCATCCAACCCTTCTAAAACTTTGCCTGTTTTTCATTGATAAATCTTTTCCACTCATCCATTCACTATGAGCCTCAGCGGCTCATTATCCTTCAAACAGGATTACAAACAAAATGCTGCAGATTTTTAATTTGGATATACAAAAGAAAATATAAAAATATCTCTAGGGCACTGATTATACTTGGTCAAATAGGCAGGTGATTTTCAAAGATAAATACAAGGTTTATTTATTCAAAGACTACATATTTGCATATAAGTCTGTGTCTCAAATTAGTTTTTAAAAAAACTTTTACTGCAAGGAAAGAGTGAAGGAGTCAGGAAAGTAGGGTTTTTTTGAGGTGAGGAAATTATCCATGAAGGGAGGAGGTGGTCTCCAGCATCTCCCCTCATGGATCTTGTTGCTAAAACTTAGAGGTAATGAATTTATAGGTGAGAATGTCACAAGTGATTCAGTAACAATGACTGAATGTGCAATAGTCATTATTTCCATGCAAAATACAGATATTATCCCAGAGCCATTCATTACATAAGAGGTGCAATAACCTCCAACCCCCAAGAACCACAGACTGTCTTGCCAACTTTGCACTAAACCCCTTTACTTGAAACGTGAAATGGAATCCCCACATTTTTTAAACTGATTTATATCTTGGGTATTTTGGATACTAATCCTAAGAGCTTGATTAAAGGGGAGCTGGACTTGTTACCACTGGCCTTCAATCATGCTCTTTGGATTACCGTGACAGAGAGACCAACATTTTGGAAAATAAATGATTTCTGTGGTTCTTTATTTAGGAAATTCAGGATGCTGAGGATTCACGCCCCAAAGATTCACAGTTCTAGTCGAAAGATTCTGTTCTCCAGACACAATTTTAGTTTTTTTGTGTATATATTAATTCCACTTTTATCTCTCTAGTATAGTACCTCTATGAGTATCAGAAACACAATGTGTGTCTTGTGGTCTTCCTGTGTGTGGGTCAGTTTGAGCTTGATGTGCACAGAGACCATTAAACCAAAGATATCCTCCTTCCTCTTGCTTCCTGCACGCAACATCTTATCTTGGCTCTCCCACACCCGTAAATTAGAAAACTCTCTTTGACTAGAAATAAGATAAATACCCAGGGCTCCCAAACGCTTGAATTGTTGAGCTGAGAGTCAGTTCTGTTTGTACGTTATTAGAAAAAAAAATTTAATGAGTAAAAAACATATATATAGTGAAAAAAAGAAAACAAGTTATATATATATAAATATGCGCCTTTTTTCACAGATTAGTTTCCATGTATAACATAAATATAGCATATATAGCGATTTTTAATTCTTAAAAAAATATATAATATAAGAAAACCTAATATAAAGATAAGCTGGGGGCAGTAAGCCTTATAAGGTGATTAGACGCCTTTTGAAGTCTTTATCCCCTCCAAGACATAATGACACATTTCCACATTTCACTTACAATCTTTTTCAAAATACTTGAAAGTAAAATTGCGATAATGGGTTGGACTCTGACCTGAGGGCACCATATTCATTTGGCCACTGCTCCAATTTTGTGCATGAGGAATTAAAAATTGAATCAAAATACTATCAAGGAAAAATATAATCAATTTTAATTTTTTCCATGCTTGCCTTAATGTTAAAACTTAAAATATAACACTTATGTTAAGATATTTGGTCTCAAAATATGGAGGAGGAAAGTAACTACATTGATCATAACTTTACAGAAGTGTGTTTTTCAATCGTGATTGATTTTATTGCCTCTTCAAATAAGTGTAAGACATTAGGAATTATTTGTAGACTGGATTTGCATGTTGTTTACTGCCTGTTCTTGCTGATCAGTGTGGGTGTATGAGGAGAGAGGAGGAGGAACAGGAAGATATTTTGATATTTAAAAGAATAAAACTAATCTATCCTCTGATTGTCTGTCTTATTTGTCTCATACAGGATGAAAAGGCCTCAGAGGACACTGGATTAGTATGCTGGACATAATCTTTTGAGCCATTGCCACTGAAACTTTACCAGACAGTCAATGCTGTGAAGAGGAACTGTTAATGGAAAAAAACTCTGGGAACGGGAAAAGATTACATTGATGATCATCACACACAGCAAACTTGTGAATAACTACAAAATATCCCATGGAGATTGACCAATTAGCTATTAGGACACTTTATGACTGAAATGGTTCCTTGTCTGCTTTTGATGATGATCATGTGACTGTGGTGGTTTGGCTTCCCAGCATCATCAGAAACAGCAGGCAAGGCTCAGTTTTGTTATAAACTGCAATTCAGAAAGCCTCATGTGAACCTCAGAAAAAGATAAGAAATAGACAACAAGAAAAGCTCTGTGTCTGCTGTCATCGTCTTGTAACATGCAGCGCCCGGCTTGGCTTTATTGAAAAGTAGGAGCCCATTAGAGCATTTGATGGATGGGAAAGCTTGGTCTGAAGCTGCATTTGCTGGCTTACTGCTGGTTGGAGATGAGATAAGAGAGGGCCTGTATTGCCGGAGCTAAATACGAATTAGGATTTGGTTCTCTTGCTGCTACAGCAGCGAAGCAAGTCAATACTGGATAAGCGAAATGGACAAATTAGTCTGTCATTGAATTGTCAGGATCATTATTCGTAACTTGATAGAATTAGATGTTTTCTCACAGTTTATATGAAATGGTTTTGCTAAAACAGAAATGGAAAATAAAAGAATATATTGTAATAGAAACTGAAAGTGATACAAAATAATCAGCTCCAGTGTTTTTTTCCAGAGAAAACCAACAGTGAAGCCTTATTTTGGTGCGTGCAAAGACTGATCCACATGCAGCTTCAAACTGAATTGATTACTCTCATCTAAATGAGGCTTGAGTTCGGGGAGAGATGGAGTTTGATAACAGCTCAATTGCCTACTTCACCAGTAACTTCACGGAGATTCCCAACACCACCACAGCTCCACCCTGGAGTGAGGGCACGCTCCTCGGCCTCCAGGTGTCCCTCTCAGTTCTGTTGGCCATCGTCACCTTGGCTACCGTGCTTTCAAACGCATTTGTCATCACCACTATCTTTCTGACCAGAAAGCTCCACACCCCTGCTAACTTCCTGATAGGCTCCCTGGCCGTCACAGACCTGCTGGTGTCTATTTTAGTCATGCCAATCAGCATTGTCTATACTGTCAGCAAAACCTGGTCTCTCGGGCAAATTGTTTGTGACATCTGGCTGTCATCTGATATCACCTTCTGCACAGCTTCCATCTTGCACCTGTGTGTGATTGCATTGGACCGCTACTGGGCCATCACAGACGCGCTGGAGTACTCGAAACGTCGCACCATGCGTCGAGCAGGGATGATGGTCGGGGTAGTGTGGGTGATTTCTATATCTATTTCCATGCCTCCTCTTTTTTGGCGGCAGGCCAAAGCCCACGGAGAGCTGAAAGAGTGTGTGGTGAACACAGATCAGATCTCTTACACCCTTTATTCTACTTTTGGTGCCTTCTATGTTCCCACCGTGCTTCTCATCATCCTCTACGGACGGATTTATGTTGCTGCCCGATCTCGCATTTTCAAGACCCCATCGTCATCTGGGAAGCGTTTCACAACAGCACAGCTCATCCAGACCTCGGCAGGCTCCTCTCTCTGCTCTCTTAATTCTGCCTCCCACCAGGATGCACACCCACACTCTGGCACTGCGGGAGGTGGAGGATCGCCTGTGTTCATGAATAGTGTGAAAGTGAAGCTGGCAGACAGCGTGCTGGAGAGGAAACGTCTTTGTGCGGCACGTGAGAGGAAAGCGACCAAAACACTGGGCATCATCCTGGGTGCGTTCATTGTTTGCTGGCTCCCGTTCTTTGTTGGCACGCTGGTAGGGGCCATATGTAAAGAATGCTGGTTTGATCCTGTACTGTTTGATATCTTTACTTGGTTGGGTTACCTCAATTCCCTCATCAATCCTGTTATATACACCGCATTCAACGACGAGTTCAAGCAGGCTTTCCAAAAACTCATGAAATGCAGACGGAGCTTCTGAAAACCTAAAATGGTGTAAAATGGACCTCTACAACTAAACAAAAGTGAGAGTAAAATATAAGGAAACAATTGATAGTGGAAAACGCATAATTTTACAAAAACATGCTCAAAGTAATAGATGTTCCTGTTTTGTGGAAAAGACATTTGGATGACCACAGATATCCATCATGCATCCCTTTTAAAGAAAAAAACTTTACCAAAACACTTGTGGAACCAATCTACAAAGTACAAATTATGGGAAGTTTGTTTCATTACACAGAAGCTGATTTGTTGTTTGTTGGACAAAAGAAACTGCTACTAACAAACAAGGACTTGTGTGTCCTTCTCGGGACACCCAACTCGGAATGACTGGATTTGATCCTGTGGAAAAGAAAAGCCATGAAATGTCTGTTGTCTTATTCTTTTGTTGTTGCAGTATGCTGCTAGTATTATGTGTATCCATGGTACACTAAACTATGTAGAAAGGCCACAAGCTCTAAAGACTGCGTCCCCACAGGCTGTTACACGAGAGCAGCATTCAAATGTTTGTGTGTGTTAGATGTAGTAACTGTAATATATGCGTGTTTTAAGGAGGGGAGGCAGTCAAGTGTTCCACAATTATACATACTTTTCTCCAGTGAGGCACATCTCTTCATTACAGAAAGGGAAAGAGGGAACAGTCCCACACTTTTTAGGAGCACACAATGTCATAGCAACAAATATTTCTCTCTGAAATGTTTACAAATAGATGTGCTGAGGCAAAGTGACAAGACAAGGGCAAATGGTACTGGACTTTCAAAAGAGATTAAGCATGATTAATTTGAAAAAATTCTAATGTCTTTGTTCAATGCGATTTCACCTTCATATGAGATGGTGTCAATAGAAGGGCCAAAAAAGGAATAGAAGAAGAAGAATGTACTGATGTCCAACAGGCACCAAAACAAATGTTGTGTCGGGCACCCTTAAAGTCACTGGGCCTTGATGGATTACACTGCTGGTCCACTTTTAAACATTTAGTTCTGGATCTTAGTCTAATGGCTCAGATGAAAGCTGCGGCTCTGCTTCTGAACTGAAAATAAGGGGATGAAAAAGAAACATTATTTATCTAACAGATTACATCAATTAAAGACAACCAAATAGATAAATACACAAAGATAATGCTAATATATGTCAGTGTCCGAAAGTATGAGGCACATTTCAATGGAATTATGCCAGGCCTCTAGTAAAACTGCTAAAATGTATTACACATGAGTCATTGATATGCTTGCTTCCTCCTAATGGTTCTACTATTTTCCCATTGCTGAGCATACAATACAACTCTTACCATCAGAACTGTAAAATGTTTTATTCATTATGCTTATTTTTTTTCAGTCAAGTCAATTCATATTCATTGTGGTGAACAATAAAGAGTATTTAACATTAAATTCCCTTACAAGCTGTCACCTTCTCCTGGGTCTTAATGGAATGTTTGTCTTTTTCCTTGTAGACCATCTTTTGTTAAATTTTTCTGTGCAGTTATGTAAATAGGTGCTTTTGAAAAGGTTTTCAATTCCATATGTGTGTAGAAAAATTCTGAAAATGTTTGCCTTCAAAGCTGTTTTCCAAAGAAAGTTTGATTTCAATAATCAAAATTACATTTCCATATGGACTTCAGACAATTGTAAAAAACTATGTTTATCTGTAGAAGGCTTTCAAAGACTAATTTGTAATACGTAACTTCAAGTTCACACAGGGAATATGCTTGAAATCAGTCATTAACTGCCATGACATTTAACAACTAAAGTAACATTTGTGTTGTAAAATTGATTCCAAAGTGATTGCACCAAACACCATGAAGAGTGCCTACAAGTGCTGTGTGATTTGCCTCACATGGACTGTAAGCTGTCCTATGTGTATTCTGCCTTTTGCCCGATGACAGATAGGAAAGACTCCAGCCCCCCAGCAGCCCTGAAAACTATGAGGATAATTTGGGAAATGGGTGGATGGATAAATCGGCAGTTAATAGTGTTAGACCCGAAATGTAATTATTCAGGATCAAGTTTTCAATATACCACCAGCATTCAGCTATTAATCCAGAAATAACAATCTCTTGCAGATGGATTAAAAACAGATGGTATGTGCTGCTAGCAGAAGAATATATGTTTTAAAAAGTTGTTTAAAGAGATAAGGAAACGTTTGTTTTGTTTGTATATAGCCAGTTGAACAAATGCCCTGTTTTTTTGAGATCAAATTGGGTTGCCTCTCTCTCCTCTTCTCTTTCTTGTCCCTTCTCTAAAAAAAAGCTTTAAACTAATCCTCAAAATAACATGTTTACCAAAGAAAAGGAGCCAAAACCAGCCCTGTCACTCTAGATCAGCGAGGATGGAACATTGATTAAGGTAACATCAGGCTGTCTTGAGCAGTGACATCAGAAGGTCAGGATGCACTTAACCTCATGAGATGGGAACTGTCACTTGCCTACTAGTGTGAGGCGTAAGACTGAAACGGGCCCCACAGGAAACTGCTCAAAGATGGTAAGATGATGGAGTGAGTGACAGCCCTGCAAACACATGAAATTATATAGTACAAGAGGTGCTACAGTGACACCAGAGGATAATAACGTACTGCTCAAACAATGCATCGCCTTCATAAGCCTGGAAGAAAGGTCACGCTGTCACATTTGTCTGAGGAGTTATAGAATCTCCTTTAAATTTGGTCATTGATAATAAGAGACCATCAGAGAATCTCTGTCTCCCCAACTGATGTAAAATGTTTGCACTGACATGCAGAAATTGCCAGAGGGTGAAAGCATAGTTGCTATGTACAGATAATTATGAACAGAACTTAATTATTTTTTTGATGAACATAGGGTTAGGGTTGTCTTGGTCCTATGCAGTCTGGAGGTAAAAGAGAGAGCTGTCAGCAGGAATGTGTGATGACCCTTCATTCTCTAACTGCTTCTTTAAGTTTACTCTCTCTTCATGGGAGACAGATGTTGGAGATACAGTAAGTTGGGAGTCAACTGGTAGAAACTTCTCCTGTCTGTTAATTAAATGGCTAATTCAATCAATTCTTCACTTGTACTTGGTGGTATGTTTGTATTTATTTTGTTGGAATTTCATTTTATTTCTTTGCATACATCACCACTAATCCACATTCACACATTCCTCTTAGTACTGACTGTCTCTTTTGCCAAGATTCACTGTAGTTCTTTTTTGTTTAGCTTTTTGCTAAAATTACTCTTAAATGTAAATTTTTCTTCCACATCTCAAGTTTTGCCTAAATGTTGAGCATGTTGATGAAACATGCGTGCAGTCATTGTTTAATGTTAGGAAGTAGAGGAGATGTTTCTTTTTTAGAAGTAGAAAGAGTTAATAAGTCATACAGTCAATCATTTTGTCCACAGGGCCAGAGCATATCATTGAGAGATTTTTCCATCTTACAAAATTTAAATAAACTTGGAATTATTTTGTAATTCTTTATTCAAATATCACACAAATCTTTTCACATGTGAATATTACATTAAATGCACATGTTAAACTTTTGATGGAAACCTAACTGAGGATGCTAACAGAGGATGGGGCTCGGTGTCATTACTGTGAACATGCATACAGCTTTTGCCAGAAATAAAAGGTCAAGGTCTACAAGCTGTTGTGTTTGTGATCTCAACTTCAGAACTTCATTTTTTTCATTTTTAAATATTCCTTATTGACAGACAGTCACGGTTTCTCCTGGTCGCTATGTCTCTATGGTCACCATTACCATAATTTAGATTCTATGTACTGCAGCTGTCTTGACTATGAAATTTCAAATAGAAGTATGATTGATCAAATACATGCATAAGATAAAAGATGAGATAAAATACATGCATATCTAATCACGGTTCGTATCTGCCAACACACTGTTGGAGCCCTCAAGATTATTTCTCACATTCTCTTGACATAAGAAAAGAGTTGCTTCGGGCTAGAAAAAATATATACTATGTAAATTATGCAGTCATAGGACAGAGTGCTGAGTGCAACTAGCTGACATTTATGTTAATATATGTAACACAATATGACAAGCACCGCCTTACTGCACTTTGCTCGCATGCATGAAACCCAAGGATGCTATATGATTCAGAAATAAGGAAACAACTTTGGTAATTCCATGTGCAGTACATTGTTCTAATCGTAGGGGATGAAAGGGACCCCACAAATATCTAGTTCAGCTGCTTATTCAAAATCCTCATATACCGGGAAAATATGTTAAAGTATTAAATAAAACACAAATACGTTTTTTTCATAAAACAGAAATATTCAACTGAGGATGACAAATAAAACCTTTCCAAGATTAAACAAAACTTCATCTGAAAAATCATGATGGAAACAAAACTGGGAATAAGTTAATCAGCTCAACTCAAAGCATGCACATTACTTGTTAGCCTCTCTCTGTCACTTAAGCTTTACCGTGTCACTAAAACACGGCGATGGCAATAGCTGTTTTAAGCTTGGTGAGAGTGGAAAAATCAGAGGAGTTATAGATGGGTAGAGTAAAAAAAGGAGTTAGCTTGGGACAAATTCATTTTTGTGAAGAGTTTTTAATAATCCACTGTCAATATACATACAATAGATTTAGGGAACAGATAAGATAATACAATGATGGAGCTGTGTTCTTTGAGCCATGGAGTTTCTGCATTGTCATGCGACAATTAACCTTTGATAGGCTCTTCTTTGGGTGAATCTGAGATGCAAAGCAGGAAAAGGTCAGGGTATTAAGGGTGGCTATAAGTTCCTGGAACATTTTGGTCACCAAGGATTTACCAATTAACAAAAATATGTCAGATGTGTAAAGCCTTTCAGGGAGGAAATGGGCTGTCACTATGGAGTAACAAATTAACCTTTTAAACCTTTTTATTTTTGCTAGTATTATCTCCTGCTTACTCATAAAGCCAGATGAGGACCATGGTATGCTTCAGAGAAATATCTTCCATCATAGCAACATAGAAACCCTTTACTATGAATAGGACATATATATACTCTGTACAAGAATACATCCACCCAA